TCCGCGGCCCTGAAAGCTCCATCCTCCTGGAAGGCCCAGGACTGCCTGGTGTGGCGGTTGGGGTTTAGGGTTTAGGGTTTAGGGTTTAGGGTTTAGGGTTTAGGGTTTAGGGTTTAGGGTTTAGGGTTTAGGGTTTAGGGTTTAGGGTTTAGGGTTTAGGGTTTAGGGTTTAGGGTTTAGGGTTTAGGGTTAGGGTTTAGGGTTTAGGGCTTCGGGCTTAGGGGGTTGCCTGGGCTTGGTTTGGTTGAGGCGTGCACTTGGTTTAGGTGTCCAAGTGCGTGAGTTTGACGGTTTAGGGAGGTTTCTCTTCTTTCATGGGGGGATTGTTTGGTTTTCCGGGGGTCTTGGGCTTAGGGGCAGGGCACTTTTGCAGGTTTTGCTGCGGGCTGCTAGGGCTAATAAAGGTTTGGGAGGTTTAGTGATTGGGGCTCAGACGGCTACAAGGTTCGAAAGTTTTCTCTTTGCGTCTCTCTCTCTCTCTCTCTCGCTCTCTCTCATTCCCTCCCTGTCGCTCTGTCTCTCTCTCTCTCTCTTTCTCTACAGCATGTGTCCAAAGCCCATGGCTTGATGCGCTAGAACACCTAAAGGCTTCAAACCCCGCAAGCGCTAGAGGCCCTGCAGAGCCCTGAAGCACTTGCCATTCCGTGGATTTAGGGTTTAGGGTTTTAGGGTTTAGGGTGATAAGGTTTAGGGTTTAGGGTTTAGGGTTTAGGGTTTTAGGGTTTAGGGTGATAAGGTTTAGGGTCCAGGGTTTAGGGTTTAGGGTTTAGGGGTTCGGGTTTAGGGTTTAGGGTTTAGGGTCTCGGGTGTAGGGGTTAGGGTGTAGGTTTTCCAAGCTTCAAAACACCGGAAAGCTGGTCGAAACGCGGCTGGGCAGCCAGAAGGCCAGGCGGGGCGCTCGGCTGGATCTCCTTAGCTTCAGACTAAACCCTAAACCCTAAAACCTAAACCCTAAGCCCTATAAGCCCTAAGCCCTAAACCCTAACCCCTAAGCCTAAACCCTAAACCCTCAACCCTGAGCCCCAAACCTGTAACCGTACACCCTCGCCTCTTCAAGGGTACAGTTTTAGGGTTACGAGTTGGCATCGCTGGAGGCCCATGGACATGGCAAATATGAAAAACACATATAGATCGACAGACAAAGATGTACATACATAAAGACAAAGGTCGAATAAAACAACAAGTTGCGATCAGGTTTGTCTCCTGCTCTTGCTTGCAAGGCCATAGGCGATGCTTGTTCAACCCTGAATACACCCTGAACCTTACACCCTGCCCTGCACCCAAGCCCGCAGCATGTAAGCCTCAACCTTGCCCCCGAAGCCCTGACACACAAACCCAAACTCCTCCTTCCCTACGGGTCGTTGCAGTTCTGAAGCCTTCAAAGCCCAGGTCCAGGTCCCGCTCTTCTGGTTTAAAGCTTCGGGTGTTGGTTGGGCTTAGGGTTTAGGAGTTTGGGGTTGAGACTTTCGGCTCTAGGGTTTAGGGTCGTTCGGTTTAGGATTTAGGATTTAGGGCGTAGGGGCAGTAGAAGAAACTCTCAGCCCGGACCCTCAGGAACGAAGCCTGACTCCCGAACCTATTGTCACAAGTGGCGAACCCTTGTACCCCCTAAACCCCAAACCCCAAGTTTAAGGTTTAGTGGTTGAGTTTAGGGTTTGTAGGGTTCGGGTTAATCCCCCGACTCCCCCCCCCCCCCCCCCCCCCCCCTCCCCATAAAGCAGCCGTGTAGGCCGCCACGGCGTCGTAGATCTCGATCAAGCCTTAGGAGTAAACCCTAAACCCTAAACCCTAAACCCTAAACCCTAAACCCTAAACCCTAAACCCTAAACCCTAAACCCTAAACCCTAAACCCTAAACCCCCAAAAAAGTCTCAAACTTTCATGTCGCATGGCTGTGGGTTGAACTGACGGGCCTGAACTTTAAAAACGAAACCTTAAGGAAACCCTACACCCTAAACTTTAAACCCTAAACCCTAAAACCTAAACCCTAAATCCTTCAACTTGAACCTTCCCAAAAAAGAAAACGTTAAGCCCTAAACCCAAACCCTAGTCCTCAAACTTACTATGCTACCAAGACTTGATAGCCCTGTAACCATATTACAACAAGGGTACCCTTTTGGGTTGCTTACTTTCTAGGGGAACCTTGTACCCAAAAACAGGAAAAAGGGTACCACTGGGCCACCCTAAACCCTAAACCCTAAACCCTAAACCCTAAACCCTAAACCCTAAACCCTAAACAAGTAACCAAGGAAACTCTCAGACGTTCGCCCAGAAGCTTTTCAGGCCAGGAAGTCCCACGATCTCTTCCGGAACGATGCGCGCCTCGGCCTTGGATTCGTTGGGGCCCTGCTCTGGTGCCCGTAGACTCTCCCTAAACCCTAAACCCTAAACCCTAAACCCTAAACCCTAAACCCTAAACCCTAAACCCTAAACCCTAAACCCTAAGCCCTAAGCCCTAAACCCTAAACCCTAAACCCTAAACCCTAAGCCCTAAGCCCTAAGCCCTAAACCTTAACAAAACCGATACACCCGATGAAACTCTATGTAACCTGCATCCCGATGGTTCGCCTCCATGTCCCTCCAAACCCTACAACCTTCTGCCTACAAGCCCGCAAGGGCCTTCCAGATACCTCTCACCCTAAACCCTTAACCCTAAACCCTAAACCCCAAACCCTAAACCCTAAACCCTAAACCCCACCTAACAACCAGGCCCTGAAGCCGAACGCCTCCCCCCGGCCCGCCCCCCGGCCCGCCCCTCCCCATCCCCTCCCAACATGAGGATAGGCAGGGGTTTGGGGTTATGGGTTTAGGGTTGAGGGTTTAGGGGGTCTAGGCTAGCTTAGGGTTTAGGGCATATAATTTAGGGTCTCGTTGTATTCGTACGAGCGACCGGGCACTGCACGCTGATGACGCTCTCGGTTCGAAGCTCTTTCCTTCAGATCGCGCTTACAGAGCCGATTGAAGTGGGTTTAAGGATTTAAGGGTTTAAGGGATTAAGGATTTAAGGGTCTAAGGATTTACGGGTTTATATGGGTTTAGGGCTTTAATGCGAGTACTTTCAAGGAAATGGGCTGCGGCCGGCTTCCTTCCCAAGTCCGAAGCCAGCTAGCGCTCGAAGCTTCTAAGCCCCCGAGAAGCTGAAAACAAAAAACACAGCGCCAGCACGAGTTGGGAAATCTTTGGACTAAGAAGTGCGATGAGAAAAGTTGAATACGGAAAGCGACAGATGCTTTCAAGCGGGGGAGACGACGTGTTTTTTCAAACAGTATGGGGGGGGGGGAAGCGCCGTGGCTGTAGAAGGAGGCCCGCCCCCACTTCGAAGTAGAGTCCCAAAAAGTTGCCTTGAAAGAACTATGAGGACTCGGGTTCGCAGTCCGTAGCTAGACTTGGTATCTTAGGTAGCCCGGCAAGCATATCATGAACAAGTGAGCCGCTGCTTGCGGGTTTGCGACCCTAAAGCAAAAGGGAACCCAGAACCAATAAGGGCAAAAAGGGGCACCACTCAGCTCTCCCGTTCCTGTCAGGCTTCCCTAAACCCTAAACCCTAAACCCTAAACCCCTAACCCCTAAACCCCTAAACCCCTAAACCGTAAACCCCTAAACCGTAAGCCCCAAACCCCAAACCCTAACCCTAAACCCCTAAGCCCCAAACCCTAAACCCTAAAGAACCCGCAGGAAGTCCGACCTTATGGGGAGCTAGGGTTTAGGGTTTAGGGTTTAGGGTTTAGGGTAGTTTCGGCCTCACCGGAGCCAAGCAGCTCGGACATCGGCAGCAGCACCTCCAGAAAATGCCTGCGGCAGGCAGGGCGACGGCTGGAGTGGCGCACGGGAGCCCTAAACCCTCAACCCTCAACCCTCAACCCTAATCCCTACACTCCGAAACTCCTAACCCTAAGCCCCTGAACACCCACAGAGACTAGGGCCCTCGGATCCCAAACCCTAAACCCTAACCCTAAACCCTAAACCCCAGTCCCTTTTAGACCCCTTATAAGCCCTATACAAATTAAAAACCCATACATCAGACTCCTTTAAAGGACCAGGAGGTTAGGGACCATATTAAGGGCCCATGAATGAAACTGCCCTCAGAGTCCAAGGGACGAAGGAAGCTTAAACCCTATCAGCTCCAGACCAGACACCTAGGGAAAAAAAAAAAAAAAACACGCACGCGTGCACACACACGCACACACACACACACACTTACACTTTTGCTAAACCCTAAACCTTAATCCCTAAACTCTAAACCCTGAATCCTAAACGCTAAACCCTAAACCCTAAACCTTCACCCTACACATCTCACGTGAAATCGAGAACCCGACCGGACAGCTGTACACATGGCGCCTGGAAAGGTCTTCGCCGGAGACGCTCGTTGGAAAGCGTTCCAGGATCTCTGGCTTCGTAGGGCCGTACGCCAGCCTGGATTCGGGGCTGTACGGTTTAGGGTTTAGGGTTTAGGGTTTAGGGTTTAGGGTTTAGGGCTTAGGGTTTGGGGTTTGGGGTTTAGGGCTTAGGGTTTATAGGGTTTAGGGTTTAGGAACCCTATAGCCCTAAACCCTAAACCGAGAACAAGTTACTGTGCTTCCGACGCACCTGGAGCCCCTGTCCGCGCCCGGGAGAGCGACTGGGGCGTAGCTCCTGGCTGAGGACAGTTCCATGGTCCCCCTAATCTAGGGTTTAGGGTTTAGGGTTTAGGGTTTAGGGGTTAGGGTTTAGGGTTTAGGGTTTAGGGTTTGGGGTTTAGGGTTACTACTTGCTTAAGAACACCGCAAAATAAAAGATAGTAATCCCCTTGTTGCCCTTATACGGAGGACTCTTTTTAATTTTCTGGAGGGGGGGGGGGGGAGGGAGCAAATCGTAGCAATATGGTCCCTGACCTTCTGCAAAAGGATTCTGAAGTCTGGGCCCTTGGGTTTTTACAGGGTATATATAGGGTATACGAAAGGGTCCGCCTGTTCAAAGCTCTTCACTTCTGGGAGCTCTTCTGTGGAGATCAGACAGACCCGA